GCAGAGTGGTCGGGCTGGCATATTTTCTTGTGTTTACAGTGACTTAATCATAATTGAACTGCACATTACCCCTCCCTTTACCCTGCACCCATTACCCTGTGTTTTTCACAAAGAAAATCACACAACCTGCAGTTGAACTTGTTGCTACCTGGGCAAGACTTGTAGGCCTATCAGGAAGCGCACATCTGGTGCTGCATGGATGGCTACTCAAGCATACAACCAGTTGGGACTATTGGTTGAGTTAACGAAGCCTCTAACGTGGTTGGAGTTTATACAACAGAATTATGCTAATCTTAAAATAAAATGGCTGGTTTGTTTTTTTGTTTTTTTGTCTTTTGCATGGGCATAATAAAATTCTGCACTAAAGTTACGACATTGGTAGAATTGACAGAGCGTCTCACGTCGTTAAAGATTATGAAACATAATTATGCTAACTGAGTTTACGACAGAAAAGTTTGTGGCTACACGCTGTAGAAATATTAATTTTCAGCATTCAGATATGAGAGGAAAACTGGCGAGGTGCGATTTCAATCGGTTATGGCTAAAAATATCAGAAAATGGACGAGAATATTAGAATTGAATTCATGGTCAGAATCGGAATCGGTAGACTTGAGGGAGCCTCTATGACGTGTTTGGAGCTTAATATATGCAACATTTGATTATCTCAATATCAAAAATAAAATGGCTTATGTCTTTTGCACGCATGGGCTTCCTAAATTTCTGCACTGAGATAACGAAAAAAAAAGTTTGTGGCTACACTGTCGAACTATTAAATTTCTGCATAAAGGTACGAATTAAAGAATCAGTGTTGATATGCGAGTTACGCCGAAAGAAATCAGAAAAAAGAATATTAGTTTTGAATGCTTTGTGTGATTTTGTACAAATTTCTGGATCCTCCCCTGGGTTTATTCTTATAAGAGCTGTGATTTTGCAGTCCCTGGTGAACAAATATGATGAAATTATGTGGTAGCAGTACTATTATTGTAAGCAGCCGCTTTCTTATTTGTTCCAACAAATATAGTAAAACGTAGTAAAATGTAGTAAAATACTTCCTCTTCCTAGTTATATTCAGTTTTTATTGCACTTCCGGTAACACCGGAAGTAAAGGTCAAGCGGTTTCGTGTCCGGGAACAAGAAATGTTACTCAAGGCATAGTCTACAACCTCAAGAAAAAACGAACACGATACTCTACTGAGTTCAAAAGTATAGCTCAAACTATTTTGTCAAAATTTGCCCTTCCATCACTTTGCCCTTACATTACGTCATGATGACGTAACCAAATTTATAACATCTTCGTAACATGGTACACATTCACACTAGGTTTTATGATCATCCCGTAAACCGTTCGGAAGAAATTTTGCTTTGTTTGAATTTCAGGCTTAAGTCTTCATTTTGAATTCACGTAACTTTGACCTTCCGGTAGACCCGGAAGTAAAGGTCAAGCGAGTTCACGTACACGACAAAAAATGTTTATCAACTAATGGTCTATCTGATTGCAAAGTTGAAACGTAATTGATCACTTAGTTTAAGAGTTAAAGGTGAAAGTATTTGGCCCATTTTTTCTCTAAAATCGCTTGTAATTTGACACCCAATGACGTCATCATGAAGTCAGAAAATATGCACCACTTGGGACGAGGGTCGATATATGTTGAAAGTTACAAGTTCATACCATATACTGTTTATGAGAAAATCCGCGGAAACTTATTGTCCGGAAAAAAGAAAGAAAGAAAGAAAGAACTAGAGATTCGCGTGTGTTGAGTTACAAACGCAGAGTGGTCCGGCTGGCATATTTTCTTGTGTTTACAGTGACTTAATCATAATTGAACTGCACAATACTCCTCCAATTACCCTGCATATCCATTACCCTGTGTTTTTCACATAGAAAATCACACAACCTGCAGTTGAACTTGTTGCTACCTCGACAAGACTTGTAGGCCTATCAGGAAGCGCACATCTGGTGCTGCATGGATGGCTACTCAAGCATACAACCAGTTGGGACTATTGGTAGACTTGCCGGAGCCTCTTACGTCGTTGGAGTTTATGCAACATATGCTAATCACATAAAATGGCTTTTTAGTTGTTTTTTTTTCTTTTGCATGGGCATAATACAATTCTGCACTGACTTTACGACAGGAAAGGTTGTTGCTACATGCTGTGGAAATATTAATTTTCAGCATTCAGATATGAGAGGTAAACTGGTGAGGCGTGATTTCAATCGGTTATGGAAAGAAATCTTGTTTTCCTTTTATTTGAGGCTAATTTCTATATTTTGAATTCACCTAACTTTGACCTTCTGGCAGCCCCGGAAGGAAAGGTCAAACGACTTTGACTTCCGGATGATGACGCCATCACACTGTTTTTGTGTCTGGCATTCTTCACCAAAAACTTTTATAATATATGTGTCTGCAGTAAAATGCTTCCGCTTTTGAGCTATATTCAGGTAACACCGGAAGTAAAGGTCAAGCGGTTTTGTGTCTGGGGACAAGAAATGTTCCTCACGGCATAGTCTACAACCTCATGAAAAAACGAACACGATACTCTATTTAGTTCAAAAGATATGCGCAAACTATTTTGTCAAAATTTGCCCTTAAATCGCTTGTAATTTGATACCTGATGACGTCATGATGGCGTAACAAAAACTATAACATCTTCGTAACAAGGTACAAGTTCACACAAGGTTTTGTGATCATACCGTGAACCGTTCGGAAGAAATGTTGCTTTGTTTTGATTTCAGGCTCACGTCTTCATTTTGAATTCATTTAACTTTGACCTTCCGGTAGACCCGGAAGTAAAGGTCAAGCGAGTTTACGTACACGGCAAAAAATAGTTAGCGATTAATGGTCTATCTGATTACAGAATACAAACATCAATGATTTAGTTCAAGAGTTATAAGTGAAAGTATTTGGTCACTTGTTCAGTTAAAATCACTTGTAATTTGACACCTGATGACATAATCATGACGTCAGAGTAATATGCACCACTTCGGATGAGGGTCGATATATATTGAAAGTTACAAGTTCATACCATATACCGTTTAAGAGAAAACCCGCGGAGAAGTATTGTCCGGAAAAAGAAAGAAAGAAAGAAAGAAAGATTAATCGCAACAAATCCAAAGAGTGGTCGGGTTGTGCCCGACCACTCAAAGAAGATTAATCGTAACAACTCCAATCAGTGGTCGGGTTGTGCCCGACCACTCAATCATGGTTTAAGTGGCCATTTTGAATTTATGCAAATTAGGCATATTTCCACCACTTGGATTTTTGGACCTTTTAGGGGCCTTATAGAAATGCACTGTGGTGTGATATTTAGTAAATAACTGAACTTGGATTATCAGGAAAATTCAATTGTGACATGTCCACACATGACAGCCATAATTTTAACTTTAATTTATGCAAATTAATATATTGCATTTATGAAAATTATTGTACGGCATATGGCAAATTTGGGAAACATGGGGATCTTGAAAGTTACGTAGGACTAGAATAATTATGAAATCAATGTAAACGGACTACAATTGTCGTTTTAAGTACCTGAAAAAGCTAACGAATATAAGAAATATGACCAAATCAATGTGAAAGTCCAAAAAATTTCGGCCATTTTGGATTTATGCAAATTAGGCATATTTCCACCACTTGGATTTTTTTGGACTTTTAGTATGTCATTTTAGGGACCTTATAGAAATGCACCGTGGTGAAAAAAATTCTGTTGCAATTTGTTTGAGGTTCACTCAAAAAATGAAGTATTTTGCCTGGACTATATTGCCCTGTCAGATCATGCCCATTCAGAGTTTTTCCTAAGTCCGATGCCTCATAGGTCCGACGCCTCATAGCTCCGACGCTTCGTAAGTCCGACAAATTAAACGCCTCGTTTTTCCGTTGTCGGACTTATGAGGCGTCGGACTTATGAGGCGTCGGACCTATGAGGCGGAATAAATAAATGTTATGCCTCATAACTCAGACGCCTCATAAGTCCGAAATTTCGGACTTATGAGGCGTCGGACCTATGAGGCGTCGGACTTATGATACGGCCCCTGCAAATACAGGGCGTCGCCTACCAATGTTAATTTTTATGGAGGGTGTTGACAGAAAATTGTCGACAGGCCGTCTGTACTGGAAGCTAGCCCGGGGTGGACACCATCCAACTTTTGGGGCATGTCGATCAGTGCCTCCAAAAGTTGGATGGCGTCTACCCCCGGGCCGCACTATTCAAAGCGAACGATCTTCAAACAATTATGGGAAGATAGGTTGCGCCACTCGTCAAAGCATATATTGGACAGGACGACAATTTTGCCAAAATGTATTTCACCCCAACCCTTTTCTAGTGGTACTCGTGTGTACTCAAACCAAAGTATAGTTACCGACAGGACGACAATTTTTCAGACAAAACCAATTGATGGGGGTTCTCACACCCCTTCACACACGCTCAAATTTGTATCCTTGTGGAGAAATTTCCTTGTTCTCGTGTAGTAAAGTTTTCGAGTTTGAAAGTGAAGTTCCAAAATGCTCTTATTTTAACCAGAATTAATTTCCTTAGCTGAAATTCGGACTTAATATCCCTTTTCTAAAACTCTTCCATTTGCGACAAATCAACCCACCTTGGAAATTCCTAGTTTTGGGGTAAAATCCATATATCTACTTCGTGAAAACCTTGTGGAGACCTATTCATCTATAGAAATTGCCCTGTGGAAACCTATACAATCTTTTGTTCCCTATTGTGGAAATGTCTCCACAAGGATGCAAATTTGCGCTCACTAGTGGCACTCGTGTATTATATACACAACCTAATAAACTAAAGTATATTTGCCGTCAGGACGACAGTTTTGCCGACAAACCGTTTGATTGGGTGGATGGACCCAACACCCCTTCTCTAGCGACATCCGTGTGTACAATTAAACCAAAGATGGGTGCTGGGACTTTTCACTTCCCATGGTCACTTCCACGGTGTATCAATACAAACGTCTTTCCAACATGACTGCTCCATTTTTTTTTTCGTTAAAAAAGAACAGAAGAGACTTGAAATGAAGGGACACGCCTGTGTGATTCTCTTGATGTGCCTCAGCTGTGTATGCGCGACGGCACTTCAAGGTATGTACATGTTCATGTGATTGTAAGATAGACCCTATGTAAGACTTAAAGTGGGACAGATAGGGAAGTATTTGAGGGAATTGTGCCTTTGATGATACAAGCATGGCATTTGGCACACAGTCTTTTTGACCCCGTCTTTATCCTCTAACTGCGCTTTGTCTAGACGATTGGGAATTAAACTATTCGCAAACACATGCATTTCCTCGTATAACGGCAGAAATGAGGAATAATACCAGTCTTGGTTAAGATGTAAAGACTGGTAGAGGTAGCAAAAATTGTATTGTGTTGTAGCTTGTTTTAAGCATGCCATTACACAAAAACAGACGAATTATTTATACTTCTAAGCATCAAACACAGTAAATGAGTATTAATGGCTTACGAGTATAGAACAGCCATACCATAAATATTCAAAGGACGGAGACATATTAAGTATTATATTAAATAACATTAAAGGTACAATTCAAGTTTGCGATACAAAATATATGACGAACATCTTAGAGAAAACATAACAATAACATTACACAACTATAACATTTGTATGTCTATCCACTTTTTTGACTTGGTTTGGATTTCACTTTTTGTTTACTTTTCTCAGAGAAATCGGCCAAAGATGAGTTGCTTCTGGAATACCTGCGGCAATACATGACCGAGTGTAGGTTTGCGTGATTGTTTGTATCTGTCATCTTTACTAATCTCACTTATAAGCATAGAGCTATATTAAATTACTAGAGTGCTAACTCCTTATTCTTGCGCGTGTGAAGCCGCTCTGGGCGCAGACACTTTGAATTTATGTGCGTGTTTGTAGAACACAATCAAAATAGATGGATTGAATTTTAAATGTGTACTCTAAAAATGCAACGCGCAAGTAGAAGATACGCAAATATCTTAAGCGCGTCATGACGGTTCAACAAACGTCACGGCAAAAAGCATCTGCAGCGGAGGGACGAGCATACGTTGCGCTGTTTGCGTAGAGCAAAATGAAACGCTCATTTGCTGATCGTGCGTTTCGGTTTTGGGCGTATCGGTTTCGATGACGCACCGGTATGGAATACAAACGCATTAACGCCCTGGTTACCGTGCGCACGACGCTTGCGGTGTTAAAGTTATAGTCCATCATTTGTAATTTGTGCATTGTGTTCGTTTGAAGCAATAAAAGTGCTCAAAATCTGAAGAAGGGTGCTGAACAACTAACCTGATGAAGTTTCAGCTCAGTTTCAGCTGTATATTTGGAAAAAAACATCATGCTAGGATCTCGATTTCAAATCAAAAGTTGCTGAATCATGTTTTGAATTGCGCCTGAATTCAGCGTCCGAGACACATTCTCGCTAAGCCGAATGCAGCTACGCTATGTCGCGCACTGATCCGACGAATTATAGCAACCGGGGGTGCGTGTGCGTCGAGCCAGTTATTGCGCGCGCTTCGCTGCATAACAAAACGAACTACTAATTTAAATTGTCCTACCGTGCGTCTTAAGAAGCACCGTTGGAAAGGCCTTCTTTCGTTGATTACTTCAAACTGACAGCTTGCCAGAAAGAACAATTTCACAGTGAATTTAGTCCCTTTACTATCTTTCAACCAAGTATGTTTTTCAACAATAATTACGCTAGCTACTTTTTGGATAGCTGCAAATGATGGACTCGGGCTTTAATATGAAGGTCTTCCGAAAAAAAAGTACGAGTACAAACAAAAGAGGGACAACAGGACGTCCGAGGTGGGAGGTCGATGCTCGACTATCAGCCTGCACGTATGCAGTATACTGTTCCTCCCTGGGGATCTCAAAAGTGGTCAAAATGTGCCATCTACTGACATGTACAAAGCCCATTACCATTAGTGTTCTTTTGGCATTTGGTACTGCATCCCCAATACATTCTTTGGAGTTCAGGGTTAAAGAAGCATGTTTCCTGGCTCTTATTTTTTTTAATTTAGTGAAAATTGTACTTCATCCCATTTTTAGGCATTTTGCAACCCACTAAAAATGGGCGTGTTGCCTAAATTAAACACTCCCTGACATATTGTCTAGCAGCTAATAATTCAAGTTTTGTGAAAAAATAATTAAATAACTAAATGTCGCTTTTGGAGGAAATCTCATTCAAAAAAATGAGTAGGTTTTGCATTTAATTGTGACAAAATAAGCAAATAAAATTCTGCTGTACCTGTTTTATTACTGCTTTAACAAAAGGACATCTCTTCGTGGAGAGTGAGCGTGCGACTTTTAAGAGATTCACAACAGAAATATCAGATGAAGCCAAACTGTCAAACACACGGTAAAAAAATTGCCCGTAATTTTACGGTAAAAGCAGTGTCAAACGGGTTGCCAACAAAAGACCGTAAAATTACGGTCAGTTACGGGTTTCGAAAAATGACGGTGACCGTAATTTTAACGCGAATTCCCCGTAAATTTGACGGCAATTTGCCGTAAAGTAATGGAATACAAAGTGGGTGGCGTCAGAGCTGAGTGTAGGGGTATAGGGAGGGGGGTAGGTTCCAGTTACTGCAGCTGGGAGTGGGGTATGCATACGTTTTACAGCTTGTCTTTTACAGGCATAGTGGTTTTCAAATCACTTAATGTGAAATTATCTTTAAGTTGTAACATAACTTGCATCTGTAAGTTGTAATTTTCATTTACAACTTTTTACCAATCCCGCAGAAAGGGTCAACCTATTGCTGGTCAACACCGCAGAATTAGCTGTTTGGCTCTCCAAATTCCGCAATATTAAAGCATTACGGCTTTCACAGTACAATGATCAGCACGTAGCGAACCTTGCGTGAGTGCACACGAATCACAGCTTTAAAAACTAGGCGGTTGTGAGGGATTAAAAGGGGAGGGGTTTTGAAAAGTTACGAATACAAAGCATTGTGAATCCCAGCCTGCGTCAGGTCACCAAGTTTTACGGGAAATGCACGTAGCACGTTCTTTCTTGTGACGGTTCAAGCAATAACGGTAATAAACCGTAAACAATGCGGGAAAAGGACAGTGTTTTTACGGGTTTTGTTTACAGTGCACACTAATGTGTCACATGGTCACACGGACCTACCTTGATTTGTCATGGCCACATTGCCAAACATGTGCAAATATTTGAAAATAGAGTAAACTTTTAAAATATGCAATTCTTTGCCATGCGGAGTTAGTGTGTGTTCTCGGTTAATTAAAGCACACCCTTAAATGTATCCTTAAGCAGTGTAAAGACGATGGACAACATTAAAAAAAGTTACAAAACAAAACAATCCTCCTTCCTTCCTGAAAGTCTGTGAAATGTTCACGAAAAATAGCACATACATTTGTATAATTTCAGGCAGTTGTAGTTGGAAGTAGTCTCTGCTATTTCAGACATTGACATTTGCTTGTAGTAATTTAAATCTTCGGAATAGTTTGGTACAGTCCAACTCTGAAACGCCATGTCTGGAAAAGGTACGTGTTAACCCATGCATCCCTGTACCGCGTCAGTCTGCAGAAAACAACTGCTACTCTTTGTAAGGTACTGCCCAAAACCACGGAAAGTTCTTTTTATTATCATTTTCAGCAGGGAATCTTCTTAAATGTAGTATAATGTAATACAAGCGTTAAAGTTAATTCTGTCTCTCCCTGTCGGAGTGCAGTAAAGAGGGGAGATGAACCAAAAGCCGTGCCAGCTCAGAGGGGTACTGAAGAGCTTACCCGCGACTACCCACCGCCCAAACAAATGGACTTGCAGACGCTTCAAGAACGTGACGCCGATGACGAAAGTCTGGTCAAGTACAAGGAAGCTCTACTGGGTAGCACTGCAGATGTTTTAGGTACTGTGCAAATACATTCAAACAAAAAAAAGAAGAACAAGACAAAGTCTATATCTGTCTAAGAACAGAATATATAGGACCTTTCAGCGTTATGATTTTGTTACTGGTTTATGCTTTTCTGTGGAAGTGTATATGCGTGTAAATGATCGAAATATAAAAAGAAAGTCATGTTTTGGATGACATTATAACGAGTCACAACTTTCTAACACAATTGGGCTGATAGTTGTGACTATCAATTTTGAGTTGAGCATGTTGTGTTCGTGAGATATGATTATAATCTTCAAAATTTCAAAGATCTGAATAAAAATCACATTATGACGTCATAATAATCTCATTTAAATTTTCGTCTATAACACATCCCTGTCCATGTACCTTCAAGGTTTCAACCCAATCGAACTTGTAGTTCTCTAGATATAAAACTTAAAATCTTCTTTAAGATGACGTCACCTGTTTGGTTTATGTTAATTCGAAAGCGCCCGCCTATGTGCGGCTGTGCGCTATATCTCTGTTGTTGCTGGCACAAAATGGATAAGCCAGTTAAATACGTATACATGTACTTTAGATGACCTTTTTAATTTCTTAAATTTCAGATGAAGGCGGACAAAATGTACTATTGAAGGCCTTGGTATTTGCTCCAGTAGACCACGAGGAAACTGTTCTGGATCTGACAGGTAAACGCAAAAACAGGGCAGTTCCACAGTTATATTAAGAGGGGGTCTTTTGTAAACTCTGTGCTGTCATTCAAAGCATTTAGGGTAGATTTTTCGGGGACGTCTCTATAGTCCAAAGTCCCATTGGTCCGAAGTCCCATTGGTCCGAAGTCCCATTGGTCCGAAGTCCCATTGGTCTATACGTTCCATTGGTATAAACGTCCCATTGGTCCGACGTCCCATTGGTCCGACGTCCCATTGGCCCGAAGTCCCATTGGTCCGAAGTCCCATTGGTCCGAAGTCCCATTGATCCGAAGTCCCATTGGTCCGGAGTCCCATTGATCCGAAGTCCTATTGGTCCGACGCCCCATAGGATTAGGGTTAGGGTTAGGGTCAGTCAACCTGAACAAGTGGAACTACACAGTATTGTGACGAAACAGGGGTACATGTATATGAAGACTTGTGTAGGAGTCTAAGTCCTAGGAATTATTTATGCGCGTGATCTGGGACATTTGGTGCGTGCTTATAATGCCAAAGTGCGCGTGGACCAATCAGCAATAAATTGTTCTGCGTGATCAGGAGATTAATAATTCATGGTGAACAGTGACCAATCAGCAACGCGTATTGTGAAGGCTGTGCGCGAATTAGCATGCTTTAGCGTGGGGTCCTGAGATCATCTCGTGAGTTCGCAAGATGACGTCAATGTAGTAGGAACGCGTTCTGGTGCTGTTGCCAAGTTGCAAGAAGCCAAGCTTCGGGGTTCAGGGACCAGTCAAGTCGCGGTGCCGTTTCTGGGGTCTTCGTTGCTGTTGCGTACTCCCCGGTCGGGAGTAGGAGCTCATCTCTGACGGTGGACGCTCTGGTGCGGCCGGGTTCGGGAGCTGTAGCTCCGGGTTAGGTAGCAGTAAGCTAAGTGTTATGTAATATATTGAGTGAAGTTGTAGCTCAAGGTCTGTTATTCAGTGTCGAATGTCTAAGATAATTGGGGACAAAGATTTAGATGAAATCTAGTAGGGAAATTAAGACTGATTATTGTGTCTTGATTAATGCTAGAACAAAAGGGCAAGGAGTTGTAGAACTTGGTTTGAGAGGCTAGTGAGACTGTGATTCGGTGGTAGATTGCTTGTCGTGGGTTGGACACCATTCGGTGGGGTTTTACGACTGAAGCAATCATTGCCGTAATCATTGGATTAGCTTGCCTAACGAGTTTACTCTTTGCCGTGTTCTGAGCACTTGTGAAGGCTACCTGTTTCATTTGAGATTTATTGCACGTAAGGTTTATATTGTATAACTCACTGTGAGGGTTACTGGTTTCCTGAGAGGGTTTATTAGGACTGCTCAGATCGTGTGAGGGTTATTTGGATTACATAGTACAGCCTGCTCTGACGATAAATCGTGTTGAGGGTTACCTTTCTTGTGCGAGGGCTATATGTACATCGGGCTCATAGTGTAAATTGGGTTGAGGGTTACCTTTCCTCTGTGAGGGTTATTGGGACAGCTCAATCTGTGTGAGGGTTATTGGAACTGTGATAATAACAGGGATTATATTTGTATAAGTTTGTAATCATGTGGTGCAGTTGACCACGTGAGGGTTACCTAAGGCTAAGTTTACTACAAAGGGTGCAGTAACTGCAGTTGACCCTTGTTATAACTATTCTTGAATAAGTCCTATTGATAATCGTCTTTGGAATAACTGTCTATGTGAGGGTTACCCAGGCACACCTTGAGGGTTACTAGGTTCACTGTGATGGTTACCAAGTTCACTGAGGGTTACCTAGGTCTGTTGTGAGGGTTACCTGAGTTCACTTTGAGGCCTATCGTCGCTACTTGTCTTGCTCTAATTACATTCAATGAATTACTCAATCACAAAACGGTGGTAAATCTCCACCAAACGAACAGCCCCTAGGCTTAGTCCACCGTTCGTTAATTGTCCCCCCTTTCGTATGGGTAGCCGCTCACCCGTTCGTTAGGCTAATATATATTTTTGTGGGATAATTGGTGTGGGTTGGAGTCCTGGGATAAAAAAGACCAGTCCCCTCGGGTTCCCACCAACACCCGCCGGTTCCGCTACAAATGGTGTCAGGATCGGTTCCGCCACAGTATTCTGTTTCGGACCAATGGGACTTCGGACCAATGGGACTTCGGACCCATGGTACTTCGGAATATTTTTCTCACAGAAAATCTTTTGAAATTAAGCGCACATTCTACAGAAAGAGCAACAAAACCAACTTCTGTTGGTCTGGCAATATTTTTTTATCATTAGTAGGCATAACTCACGCTACCAGAAAAGGACAAGGCAAAACAATTATGAAAGTTGCACCACACTGCCCCATGTACGGCGAAGTGGTTGTCGGCGAAGTGACCGACACCCGGGTGTCGGTCGGGTGTCGGGTGTCATGTGCAAGCTACCAGTTCAATTACCCCCCCCCCCCCCAAAAAAAAAGAGGGATATTAATATTGGTAACTCACGTTATGGTAGGTATCTTACAATGCAGTCTGTCCACGTTGGTAAATATATAATATTTTGTTTGTAACTATATTCCCAAAATTGGTATAGCGAGGACACGAACGACAAATGCATTACAATGCACCCTGAAAAAATGCTCCCCCACCATTTTCTGATATTACGGATGCCAAAAATGTCCGGGATAAAAAAGGGTCTACATTTCAGCATGGATGTGCGAGTGTCCCATGTTGCCCCCCGACATCAACAAAAACAATACTAAAAGCCAACCCCTAGGCTATTCGCATAACAAAATGAACCTTACTTCTCTGCCTTAAAAAAAGAAACTAACATTACATGTAACACTTTGTATGTGAAAAAGGTGCCTAAATAACTTCCTAACAGCCATATTTTTTTAACAACCCTCCCCCTCCCCCAAAAAAATTTTAACAAAAAAGCAGTTAACCATATTCTTACTTCAGTCCCCCCTTAAAAAATTAGTGGACCCGCAGGTGCCTGCCTAGAGGTTTAACCCTATAGTTACGCCACTGGTTAGGACTTAGCCTTGGCATGATCGCAATAAACAATTTCTCGGGTACTCAGGCACTTCCTGTGACCTATGGGTTCTATGTACAACAAATTCTACGAGCTGCATTTTGCCGGTTGAAAATGTACAGTGGGTTTTGTTAGGGGATGGGTTGATCTGTTTTTTTGCAGCACGGTGTTCACAAAGGATTTGATAGCTCGGAATCGAACGATTTCTGCTATTAATTAACATCCTTTAAATTGGTCCATTTCATAAAATAACAACACATAATAGTGATGCTATGTGGCTTTAAACTCAAGGTTGTCTTCTTTTGAAATTGTTTTGGTTTCCAAATTTTCACTTGGATTGTCACACTTTTTTCATCCTCTTTGCTTTGTTCAAAGGTGATCTTTCTCAATTCAAGCATAACCCATTTGTGGTTAAGGAAGGCGCCGAGTACAGGATTAAACTCATATTCAGGGTGAGTTGATTCTAATTTATATTGTCAGTGCCTGCCTTTCAAAAATTGCATCAATGGAAATGCAACAGCCACATTATGGATCGCGCTATTGTGCGTAGCATGAAGATTCAAATCAAATTTAGGATTAATAAAATCAAATTCAAGGTGAGTAGATTCTATCATTTCGGAGCCTGCGTTTGAAATATTGAATCATGGAAAACACACCAACCACAAATTTGGGGGATCATGTCCTTGCTAATGTGCACACCATGGGGCATGCTTGGAATTTTCTAAAAGGGAATATATAGACCTTAATCATTTGCAACTTAAAAATAATAATAATAATAATAGTCCATGGCCCATGCGTCATGTGAAATCATGGCAAGTGTGCTGTCATTTTCAAGAAAAGTGGGGTTTTTTTGTACTGACCATCATTGGAAAAAAAAACTTTTTGATTCAAATACTGCCCCCATTTTACCAAGTTTAATAAGTCCACATTTTGTTTGAAGTTACACATCCGTGAACGGGTGGAGACCAGCTGATTCAGTTCCCTGACCTGACAATTCCCCGTCCTCTATAAGGTCTGTTTCGTCTGAAGTAAGGTCAGGCAACTAGACTACAAGAACAGCTTCTTCTTTTTTCAGCATCTGCATGTATAAACACAAACTTTAACAGGTCAGTTCAATGACGATATTTGCTGCAATATACTCCGCCCAACTACATCCTTTCTGAAAAGTACAGCAAAAGAAAATGTTGTGTATTTCCTTTAACTCCCAATGCCGAGATAACGCCTTTACCTTTCAGGCGGCTTGGCTGCACTTGCCATGAATTAGCTGCATTGCCATCAAACAGGCATCAAATGGTCATCAAAAAGGCATCACATTCTTTTAGGCATCATTGGACATCAAAAGAGTAGCAATTTGAGCAAAGTTTATAAAGAAAAACATTAAAGGCGTACATTCATCAGTCATCAAGAAACATATCATTGATGTAAAAATATGACTGCTGATGTTCATCTGAAGCTCACGGCATTGTTTAGGCATCAATATAAGGTATTGGGAAGGCATCAAAAGTCATCACTGAGCATCAAGCATCACAGGCAGGTATCAAACAGGCATCAAACGGGCATCAAACAGGCATCAGAAGTCATCACTGACTGTCAGGCATCAAAGGGGCATCAAAGAGGCATCAGGAAGGCATCATTAGTCATGACTGACCATCGAGCACTGAGGAATAAAGAGGCATCATAAAACCTGACTGGCCTTCGAGCATTGAGGCATCAACGAGGCAGCAGCAAGGCATCAAAATTATGTCATCACTAGCCATCAGGCATCAAAGGGGCATCAAAGAGGCATCCGGAAATCATTAAAAGTTATGACTGAACATCGAGGAATTGAGGCATTAAAGAGGCATCGATCAGCAAGGCATCAGAATTAAGTCATCACTTGCCATCAGGCATCAAAGGTGTATCAAAGAGGCACCAGGAAGGCAGCATAAAGGCAGCAGAAGTCATGACTAACCATCGAGCGTTGAGTCATCCAAGAGGCATCAGCAAGGCATCAGAAGTATGTCATCACTAGCTATCAGGCATCCAAGGGGCATCAATTAAAGAGGAACCAGGTATTAGATATTATGACTGACAATCTAGCATTGACGCATCAAAGAGGCATCAACAACACATTAGCGTTAAGTCATCACTAGCCATCAGGCATCAACGTGGCATCAATGAGGCAACAGGAGGCATTAGAAGGCATTAGAAGGCATTAGAATACATCAAAGTTATATACAGATTATTAAGAAAATCATAGCTAGGGAATATGTATCATCCAAAAGACTTTACACGAAAGCGAAAAGATCAATATTCAAAAAGGAGTTATAAGACAATTGTGTACAATATTGCATAAACTCAGTGCCGCAAGGCATTTCGGTAAAGATGTATTCGGTATTCATTGATGTATTGAAGGCATCAGAGTTTAAGTCGTCACTAGCCATCAGACATCAAAGAAGCACCATCAGGAAGGCATTAGAAGCTACGACTGACCATCGAACATTGAGGCATCCAAGAGGCCTCAGCAAGGCAACGAAATTAGGTCATAACTAGCCATCAGGCATCAAAGGGGCATGGATGAGGCACCAGGAAGGCATTCGTGGTCATGGCAGACCATCAGGCATAAAAGTGGCATCAAAGATCACGAGGAAGGTATCAGAAGTCACGACTGACCAGCGAGCATTGAGGCATAAATGAGGCACCAGCAAGGCATCAGACTAAAGTCATCTCTAGCCATCAGGCATCAAAGGGGCATCAAAGAGGCACAAGTAAGGCAATAGAAGTCATGAATGACCATCGAGCATTGAGGCATCAAAGAGTCATCAGTATTAGGCATCAGATTTAAGTCATCACTAGCCATTTGGCATCAAAGTGACATCAAAGAGGCAACAGGAGGCATTAGAAGGCATTAGAATACATCAAAGTTATATACAGATTATTAAGAAAATCTATAGGGAATATCATCCAAAAGACTTTACACCGAAAGCGAAAAGATCAATATTCAAAAAGGAGTCAAATAAGACAATTGTGTACAATATTGCATAAACTCTTCAGTGCCGCAACGCCCTATTTCGGTAAATTGATGTATCTCACTTTATAAGGACATTTTGAGAAAAAGTAACTTAAATATTTAACCTATTTGCAGTGTGTTGTGGGGGTTTGCAAGACTGCCAAGCTGGTTTTTTTTCTGATGTCCTGGCAGCCATGATGATGTTATCTTTTGTAAGTTGCATATTTTACGGGTTTGATATTTTTGAAACTATGTAAAGGTCTGTGAAGATACATCAATTCATTAAAAAAAGACTTATAATTAAAAGTTTTGATTTGTCGTGTAATAATGATCCAAACAAAACAAAGAAGCTAAAAGGACAAAATAAAACGTGTCAATGGATAAGCGAGCAAACACAGTACAAGACATCATAGAAGATGATGAAGAGAAAATGGAAGCGGGCAGGGCATGTTGTGGACTGAACAAATGACAACAGATGGACAAAGCTGTGCAATGGAGACCAAGAGAGTCAGTTCACGTATTTGCAACGTTAATACCATCCGTATTTTCCCCCATATTTGCCCTCATATTTGGGTATATTTGGTTTTTTTTATTTTGAAAAAAAAAGGTGATTCTACTTGCACAGCCTTACTTTATTAACATATTTCTAAAGCATATAAGTTACTGAATAATTATGAGGACGTAGTAACGATCCAAAAATGCTACTATTATACCCAGTGGCGTAGCCATGGGGGGGGGGGGGCGACAGCCCCCCATGAAACCTTGTCGCCCCCCAGTCGCCCCCACTGAGATTTTGAGTTTCTAAAAAACATTATCATTGATCTACATGACGCCCCCCATGAAATGTTCCAGCCCCCCCCCAGCGCCCCCCCCCCCCACTGAAAAATTCCTGGCTATGCCACTGATTATACCCAAAAGTTGCGCATTTACCTGGCTCCAGATATCTTCGAGTAGTCTTCAAGTAGTGTTGCCAAACCTGAAGTACATGTTACAGACAGGACAGACAGGACAGACAGGACAGACGGGACAGACAGACAGACGGATAGATAGATAGATAGATAGATAGATAGATAGATAGATAGATAGATAGATAGATAGATAGATAGATAGATAGATAGATAGATAGATAGATAGATAGATAGATAGATAGATAGATAGATAGATAGATAGATAGATAGATAGATAGATAGATAGATAGATAGATAGATAAAAAATTAAGGGTGGCATCAACCTACATTTTCTTCTCCATCCCTTAACTAATTGATCTGACATGGTTGCCTGCTTTTACCACAAAATGCCGTCCAACGTGTAATATTCCACTTTGGCTGGTACATGGTCCATGCACTATACAGAGGTCGAGCGTGTGGCACAGGTTAAATGTCTGGGTTCCCTCAAGACAACGAACGGCGTCTGCTCAACAGACATCAAGAGCAGAATAACAATGGCAAAGAAGCGCACACTGGGTGAGGTGCCCATCTGGAAAGATAGAGGCGTCAGCAGGAAAGTCATACTCCATATAGTATGTGCCCTCATCTGGCATGTCCTGAACTATATATACGAGCTGCAGAGAAACGCGCTCTTAGGGCTGTTAAAATGTGGGTCTATCGCAGGATTCTCCGCTTTACCGGGAGAGACAAACGGACCAATGACAGCATCCTCTAGGAGCTCAGCACCACAAGAACCCTGCTCGCCAATATGAAAACCACGAAACAGCTTCTTTGGCCACGCGCGAAGGACAGGTGGTTTGGCTTGGGACATAATTGCTGGATACCATCCAGGGAAGAGGCGGAGAGGCCGGCCATGGCGACAGTATATAGCTGACATCCGCAACTGGACAGGTCTGTCGCTTGGGGCTGCAGCCCGATCGGGCAAGGAGAAAACATCTCGGAGGAATCTGGTGCGGTTGGCTGCCAGAGACGGGGAAGGCTAATCTCCGTTAGCGGAGGCATACAGAAGATCAAGGATGAGAGCGGCACAGGCCCTCGCCAGCTTGGGAAGGCCTTCACCTTGCAGTGGGCAGATAACGGTTGAGAATGATAATGATGATGACTTCTGCACTCAGGCGTGTGGTCCGAACAGAATAGACTTAAAGTAAGGTTTTTCGTGATTCTTGAATAATTGTTGTCTTTATTTTTTTTGGTCGGTATCCAATAAAGGTCCAACGTGAGGGTGTCTCTGGACTGCGGTATTTTGAAGCTGTTTACAGAAAAGGCATCAGAGGTGAGTGAATGTACGGACATGCAATTTGTCGCTCACCCGGTGTTGCATTTTGATTTTAGTCACACAATGACCCACATATCTTTTTTTATATATTGTCTTCGGATGTTTTCATTTCATATTATGCGTTGTTTTTGTGGCCCCTACACTTACACTTACACTTATAAAGTGTCGTCTTTTGTGATTATTTGTTTTATTTTGTATTTCGTAGCTTTCATACATTTTTGTTTAGTTTTTGTTTTTCATACCGTGTTTGTTCATTGTGTATTGTTTTGGTCGAATAAATCATAAAAATAATAATAATAATAATATCCAGTCCAGTCCCAAGGCCTTTCACAAGCTGTTGAAATGACCTCTGACTAATGCATTTTTTTGTTATTAGTCATCCTCTACTACGTATGACCAGATTTTTAAAATGTATATGTGATTTTTTGTGAATGGACTTGTAGTGTACTGAACTTGAATAGAACACTGCATGGGTGCGCCTTTTTGTGAGAAAACACCCGTAGTACAGGGCAACCATCTTTTTTTCTGGACCCCCCCCCCTCCAAAAAAAGTCTCAATGTGACGCGACATGGTGCCCTAATTAATAGCTGCCTTTTCTTTGTTTGTGCTGAGGAACCATCGCAGTTAAGGGTATTGCTTAGGGATGCAAAATCCATGATCACTTGTAAATCTACTTTAATTAATGCTGAAAATGGATAGAACAAAATAGGGTGTAGGGAATTTCTAGAAATGCTTGAATTTTAAGTTCTAGCCTATTTTAAATAGGCTAGAAGGATGTTCTGGCAATATTTAACACCGTCCACATTGAAACACAAAATATCAAAAAAAAACAATGTGCCCAACCTAAAAATTGATTGAAATTTTCATTACAAATTGCTGAGTCATGTACCCCCGAAACCCCACTTAGACCAAAAAGTAATACCTATGGCGATTTTAGAGACATTTTTACATTTTACCTTCCGGTCTATCGATGCGCATGTGTGCAAGAGTTTGAATTTGTTAGGAAACTGGTCTATTTCGAAGTCCCATACAAGGGCGGATCCAGAACAACTTTTTTTGGGAGGGGCAGGAAATCTTCTTCACCCAAAAACTGGGTCCAAAATTTTACGGCGTGGGTTTCGGTGCCCGCTTAAGGGCCCCGATTTTTTTAGGGGGGATTTTAGACGCTCTGTGTGTACTTTGTCCAATTTATTTTCGAGCAAAACGTGGTGGTGTACGCAGTGGATGCCTTTTTACGACTGCGCTTTAAAAAAATATGAGCACTTTTTTGGAGAAGGGGGGGGGCAGGGAGCATGACCTCCGCCCCCCACGCCGTAATTGTTTGGACCCACTTTTTTGGGGACCAAAATTTTTTTGGCCCCCCAAAAAATTGTGTTCTGGATCCGCCCTTGGTCAGTCGGTCGGTCGGTTGGCTGGCTCCTCAAATCCAGGAAATGCAAATAACATGTACAGTTTGAGTAAAAAAAAAAGCGGAACGCCAGCCCCCAAAAACATATTTTATATTTTAAATAGTATGTAGCACCGAAACTAATAATGACTGTAAAGCTAATTTCATAGAAGGCAATTTTAGATTTAAAAAAGTACTGAAATTGCTCGAACCTTTCAAAGAATATTACCATTTAAATACGGTGATCCTAAAACTTAAAATGCGATTTCAAGAATAGTCGTCACAATTGTCTTCAAACATCCTCAGCGATAAAACCTTAATTTAAAACTCAAAAATATTAAACAAAGCTCTTTTGAAGGCCCGTCTTCTTTGTTTTATTTTAAAGTGGATTGTAGAAGTGATATTGTTTGCCTAAGCAGGGTTGTTAGTAAAGATATTGTGTACTAAAGTTGTTGACAGTTGTTAAAACAGGTATTCCGTGTCATTATCTTTGTTGTTCCAAACAGGACACAATATATTGCTCTCTCTTTTTGGACGAAACGCTTTTTAGGGTCATTGCGTTTAAATGGTGATATAGGCCTATTCTACGAACGGATTATGCAATTTCATTTTTGTTTTTTATCTAAAAGCAGTTTCTGAAATTGGTTTTACAGTCATAATTATTGTCGGTGCTACAAATTTTTACTATTTTTTTTTTTTGGGGGGGGGGGTTGGATTCCGCTTTTTTTGACTCACCCTGCATAAGCCAGAGTTGTAATGAGTCACTGATTTTAGTGACTCGAGTCGAGTCGAGTCATTTTAAAGAAGTGACTCGAGTCGAGTCAAGTCATTAGGTCAAGACGGTCGAATTGAGTCGAGTCGAGTCACAGTGTGTGGACGAGTCGAGTCGAGTCGAGTCGAGTCAAGTATTTAGCTCTAGTTAATTCGAGTCACAGATATTTGAGCACTATACAATCAATAAACACAAGAGTGAAAGTCATTTTTTTTAGCCTTTTAAATTTTACATTCGGGCTACTGCTAAGGGGGTGCCAGCTGATCGTCATTCAACTAATGGGGACACTGATCAAACCACGTATGTAATATGTATACATTATTCGCGAACATTCTAACGTGACGTGAAAAAAACCGGCACCGGCGTAAGTCATTGCAAATATTTTTCGCAAAGTTTTGCTTATGTTTTTGGGATTCGAGTCTCAATAGCCTTCCTCGAGTCGAGTCATTCTGATGAGGGACTCAGTCGAGTCGAGTCATTTGCTCGCAGAGACTCGAGTCGAGTCGAGTCATTTGCCCTTAGGGACTCGAGTCACCAAAAATTGTGACTTGAGTCGGACTCGAGTCGAGTCATTACAACTCTGGCATAACCCCAATCAACCACTTGTTCTTTGCAGTGGACAAGGCCAATTTTATGGTTGGGAGTTACAGACCCAAAACGGAGGAGCACATCTTCCAGAGTCCCGTGGATGAGTTACCCGCGGGTTTGTTAGGCCGTGGTGACTATATTGTCAAGAGTAAATTCACAGACGATGACAAGAATATCTACTTGGAGTGGGAGTGGAGTTTCTCCGTTAAGAGAGATTGGGAATAAGATTATAGTGATGATTTCCTACAAAGGAAATTGGTCTACTGGAAGTGCGGTTTACTTGTAGATGATGCTGTTGGTTTTTGAAGGGGTACATCATGAATGTGAAATTCTTAATTAAATTTATGTTATCATGGTTCAGCAAGTATAGGGATTATGTTAGTTAAATGTATGCCACAACATATACAATGAATATGTAATTGATTTTTTTCCCAAAGTGGCACTTTTTTTTTGAAGGAATTAATTGTGGCATTAGTCATCAGCATTGCCAATGATGACTTTTTTTTAGTCTCTCAGAAAAAGGAACTGCATGTTCCCCCCCCCCAAAAAAAAAATGTGTACATGTATATGGATGCCATCATCTATGTACAGAACAAAACAAATGACGTATACTTGTTTTGTATGAACATTGCCTTTTCTCATTTTATCAGAGCAACTTGTACAACTCTTTCATTTTGTGGAAGTCTATAAAACAACGCATTTATTAGGAAATACATTTTGATGATGCTATTTGTTGTAATCGCTTATTAAGTTACTTTTGGGAATAAATGATACATGTTAGTTGTATAGCAGGCTTTATTTTATCTTTTCAGCACGAAATCCAATCAGCACCTGCAAGTTATCCAATGATATTTAAAACTACAAAAGCCTATGTTACACAAGGCTCTATACAGGGAAAATCACCATCGTGCGCTTGACAAAAACAACTTACAAAACTGTCATACTTTTTATATCAAGTTATCCATATTGGGCCTTTTAGTTTTGAAAATAATTTCAACTGGATTCAAGTTTTCTATGCCTCTTCTGTTAGATTAGCCTATATGACTTAATTGGATGCAGTCGCAAATGAAACGAAAGTCAATGTCTACCTTATACTCGTAATCATGTTTTAGTTTGGTACAGGAATGGATAGATAAATAAATAAATAATGCTTATATCTTTTTGTGAAAGAGTGTTTTAATTTGTTCCATATAAGGTCTGCAAACATCTGTTTAAAATCTGTTAGTTGGGGACGCTAGTTTGGTGCACAAACAGCAACACCCCGCCCCTACATTATCGATGCTGATAGTGGCGGGTTTAATTATGGTCTACCCTACGAGAACTGACCCGCTTACCGTGGTCAACGTTGACCGTTGGCTTCGCGACTGTCAGACCGTTGGTCTGGCGAAATATTAAACGTTGGATATGTTGGTTCGGCAATTCTTCTGGACGTTGGGCCATCAACGTTGGATTAACAAAAAACAAGTTGGCGCAACATTATTTCGCCAACTTTAGGCGACGTATCCCCCCATCCTGCCAACTACGCTCATACATACGACGCATTGTAACGTCGGCCCGACCAATTTTTGACGTTTGGCCAACGTCGAATACATGCAACTGTTTCGTCTGAACAATGTTGACAGCCGACGTCAAATATTACTAATAACTTCTGAACAACAACGTTGGCAAATCAACCTCATAATAGTATACGAACCGATCGTCAACGATGGCATATTATAATAGCAGGCCGACGTCGAAAATTAGGCCTACAGACTTTTTACTAACTATATTGAACAACGTTGGCAGGCCAACCTCAAAATACAAACTGATCGTCAGTGTCGGCACAATTAACGTACGTTGGAAGGCTGTCCTCGAAACTGTTTACCGTCGTCACCGGCAGCTGTCGGCCGGCCAGCGTCATTACCGATCACCAAGTGTTAGCCAGAACGGGCAGGCCAGGCCGACGTCAGCAAAATGTTTGCATGCGACGTCTTTAATTAACGTAAGTACAACGTTGGCAGGCCGACATTAAAACATATATACACCCGACCGATCGTCGAAGTCGGCAATAATATACCGCGGAACTAAAAACAGATCAGGGGCGTCAATCGCTTCTTAAAAGACACTCTCCGTGGTGCGATCTGAGGCAATTTCTGACCACTTTTTTTTTTTTTTTTGCAAAAGACAATCATTTAAACCACATTTTCGAGGTTGAAGTCATTGAATCAGCTATATTCTGAGCTATAGACGTGGGGTTCTGGGCAGGCGCTTAAGAGGGCCCTGTAGGTCCTGAAATCCCTGGAAAACTGTTTTGGGTCGTTTACTTATCCTAATTCGAACATCTTGTTCAAAAGAAACCAACCTAATGTCTTACCGTTAGCGAGAAAAGACGATAAAACCCCGGGTGTTTACAGCGCACCCTACGGAGTACACTCTAAAAAAGCATTAGTCAGTTTCGACTAGAAACCAGTGAAATTCGACTAGCTATTCAGGGTCAGCTGGGTGCAACTGAAAATCAGGCAATCTGACTAGATATTTCCAGTCAGTATTAATATGGGGAAAAATAGTTATGCAAATAACTGAATTTGGAGTCGAACCCAACTACTTTTCAGTATGAAACTTTGCATGTTTAATTAAATTCCTACAGTCAATTTTCAATAACTAGGAAAACCAGTCAATATTTTGACTAAGTAGTTTTAAGAGTGTAAAAATACACATTTCCTGTCGCTTGGTCAATGTACTTTGTACGATACATGTTGTGTGTGTCAATACAGCACCGTGCTCGCGAGCAGTGACCAATCACCAATGCTCAAAATGAGGGTTCTACGGTCTGCAAAAGGCGAACACTTGTTTCAAACATTTGATATTGTAAGTGGGGGATTCACGCCCATGATGCAGACTGTTGGCGTACCATTCCGATTGTAAGTTTACACAACGTTGGCAGGCCGGGAAAAAAAGTCGTCGATTATACACTTTTTACCAACGACAGAACAACGATGTCGGGTCGACTTTAATGGACCGCCAGCGCCGGCATATCCGCATACGTCTGCAAGCCGACTGCGACTGTTCCAACATTGACCGATGTTGGGCCAACGTATATTCACCTGACGTTGGTTAACATATTAAAGTATGGCATATTCGACATCGGTCCCTTTGAAACTAATCTGAGTATCACCCGTTATCCACGGAGCCAAATCCTGTACAACGTCTGACATCTCCTGACATTTAAATTTATGCAAGCCGTGCGCCAGCCAATCGGAGTCAACTTTACTAAATCGTGACGTCATTTCATTCCTAAATCAGGACTAAACGATTTGATTGGTCAATTCGAATGCAGTGTTTTGTAATGCAACAACTGCCGGGCACGATATCGCGTATTACTATACCTCATACATATTCATGATTGAGAGCCGAACTCTCACTGGTCAATTCATCAACACGTGCCAGATGTTATTTTTTGCTGTTTACCAAGTGCGCGCGAGGATTCACGCACAGGGTAAATGCGCATGCGTAGTAGACCGTCGCACGGGTTCGCTCGTACCCCCACCCTGCAAACAGGACGCCTCACAGAATCTTGTGAAGGAATTGGCCTATATATGACATATGTATCAAGCATCTGGCGGCAGCTGTTCAAAACCGCAGTTAGACAATGTGCGAAAATATTATCCGAAAACTACCCATAGAAATGCACACGTTCCATACCGGATGTGATTTCTGTTTCATTGCGGACCATGTGGACACAATTTTGAGCGTCGATTATTCGCTCGTACCCCCTGCCCTGAAAACAGGGCGCTGGGAAGGGCAGATGAGCTTCACAGAATGTTGTGAGGGAAGTGGGGATGGCATTCTGGGTAATTTATCATGACCTATGTATAAAGCATGTGGCTGCAGTTGTAGACCGCGGTTAGCCAATGCGTGCAAATGCTATCCGAAAAGTTTGCCATTGAAATGCATACACACAATACCGGATGTAATTTCTTTTTCATTGCAGACCATTTTGAGCGTCGAATGATATGCATTTCGATCCTTCGTACGTGAATTCGAAACGGAGCCTGATTTGAGCAACTGACGGGAGTTGAAAATTTACAAAACAGATACGTTTTACAGATTTTCCTACATTATACTACAACGGAAGATTGAGGGTTCGAGTCCCTTCGTGGTCGCCAAATGTTACCCCCCCCCCAACGGCCACGGGAGCAGCCGCTGCAGAGTGTTCATTAAAAAGACTGCAAAACTGCAAGAATAAAGACAAATGGACACTGGTTTAGCTTGGTGTGTGGTAAATGTTCCTGACTCATCGAAGTCTTAAATCAGAATCACAACACAATAGTAAAAACAAATGCAAAAAATAACTCAATAAGGCCAACAAAAAAAAGTCTCCGGTTTCTGGTATGGAGCTTGCCCAAAAAGTGGTGCGGCGACGCGGCTTTTTTTTTTTTTAACCTGACTTTTTTGCTTCAAATGTCGGCTGATGACTTCAAATGGTGCCCGAGTCCAGAGAGGCCACACAATGCTTATTCTCGATCATAACCCCATCTAAAATCACGTTTAAAGTGTGCAGCAGCAGGATTCCAGTCAAACCAGTGAGTTTGGCGGTTTTGAGACATCATCTTTCGTTGAAAAAAAAACTTTTTCATTTTGCCGACGCGCATGGCTACGGCGACGCGCGCGCATACCAGAAACCGGAGACTTTTTTTTGGCCTAAGCATGATTCGAAAATCGACTCTGGTATCGATAATAATATCGATTCTGTCCTGTTTCTGAATAAACATAATCGATTCTATCACCTAAATCGATACTGACCATGTCTCAACCTCACTGTTTATCTCTAGTCCAGGACTGACTCACTACTAATTGTTATGCATGAGTGCTTCCCATGCTGTGCTCTAACTATCAAAGAACTCATGCACATGTACAATACATACATGTCATCTAGCAGTACAAAATGTCCTGAAGTACATGTATGGAATAAGCCAAAAAAAGGTAAAGTCTATCAGGCCAAAAAAAAGTCTCCGGTTTCTGGTATGGAGCTTGCCCAGAAAGTGGTGCGGCGACGCGGATTTATTATTTTTTTTACCTGTTTTTTTTTTTTGGCTTCAAATGTCGGCTGATGACGGCAAATGGTGCCCGACTAAACTTAGAGTGCAAATATATGGGTGTCCAGAGAGGCCACATAAAGCTTATTCTCGATCATAACCCCATCTAAAAACACATTAAAATTGTGCAGGAGCAGGATTCCAGTCAAACCAGTGAGTTTTGCGGTTTTGAGACATCATCTTATATTTAAAAAAAAAAAAAAAAAAAAATCATTTTGCCGACGCGCATGGCTTCGGCGACGCGCGCGCATACCGGAAACCGGAGACTTTTTTGGGGCCTAATAGGGAAATCACTGTCGTCAATAAAATAAAATAAAAAGGAGTAAGCAAAGAAATTGTTCTTAATTATTCTGAACAATTTCAAGCGTGAAAGCTTGTCACAATGTCACTCTCCATAGAGTGGGACAATATAAAAGTTATAAATGGCACCGTCAAAACTAGCTCTGAAGAACCTGGCAACTTCAGTCTAGTATAAGCAAGTCAAAAGCTACTTAATATCTCTAGGAGCAATCTCGATTAAACCTGGGCGGAAAGTACTTTCTTGTAAGTACCAAGTTACAAAATAGTTGAAGGGAACGCTGTACCTTTCCAACTTATCTTTTCCATTAAAAGACAATCCAGAAATTAACAATGACTACACATAATTAGCAGGCAAAACAGGAAACATTTATGAAGGCAAAATTGAGTAAAGGCTAAAGTATTTGTCTATGTACTCTGGCACACTCTG